TGAATTTCTAATCATCAGAGCCGAATTATAAGAAGCGGATATTCCGTTTTCTTCGACTCGTTCGATTTGTTTATCGTCGGGTAAAGTCAACCGCACTTTTCTTCTGTACGTACAGAAAATTGATTCATTTATTTATTTATTCATTCAATTGACAGGACCCTTTGGTGTATAGAGTTAAGAACGGAGGAAATTATACAAGATTTCTAATATATTGATCGAATTTCATACGAAAAACAGAAAAAAATTTTCTTCCTTTTGAAATTATTCAATTTGATGAACACGCCAATCAAGCTAAAAGAATTTAAATTTAAGAAAATTAAAAAATAGGAGAATTGAAAGAACGCAACGAGTTATTGAAAAAAATCCAGAATAGTAGAGTAGTAGAATTGTTCGCCAATATGCAAATTCTATCCATACAATTAAATCTTGCCGCACATTATCCGATATAATACTCATATAAAATATATTAAACGAACGAATCACTCGGGGTGACACATAATAATAATAACAATAATAGCATTATTGGTCCCGAACAAACTGATAGGGAGAGTGGTATGATACAAAATTGACAATAACATCAAATCTGAATAATAAGAATGACAATAACGTAAAATCTGAATAATATATAATAATATTAATAATATATATAATATAATAATATTAGTGACTCGGGACACAGACTATATATCAGTTTAAATAAGAAACGCCAGAAATAAACAAATATGCTTCTCATATTCCTTTCAGATCAGTTTCGGGAATTTTAGTTTGATGCGATCCATGAAATCCGGAAATGACCGACGAAATTGTCGTCCGGGCCTCGCCCGTGATTTATCCCGAGTCGTGTGTACATCCGACTGTCAATTGCGACTTAAGCGCGGGCGCCGAGGGTGGTATAAATCCCCCAAGAGAGCGGAGCTTTTCGCCCTCTAAGAAGACTGGCCTCGCGTGCCGGCGAAACACATTCGCCGAAATACACGACGGCCGTTTCCATGGCTGCCAGAATTTACCGAATACCCCGGCGAGACCAGCAGCGACGTCGTTTAATCTGCCGGGGGTTTCCGCCTAGCCCGCTCCCCGTCGTTCCCTTCTCGTGGAATGTTTCGTTCGCGTCGGAAACGCCTCGTTGATCGAGATTAGACATTCATGCGCGGCCGCGAGGATAAGTTGAAGAGAAAGAAAGCTGTTGATGGGGATTCGTTCGCGAAGTATTAATCTCGTGAAAACCTCCGGTTGTTCCTCAACGCGTCGTGCTTTCCACGCGATTTTCATTGATTATTTTCAAGCTTGACTGAGAGGTCTGAATAATAGGTCGAAAAGGTAGGCAATTTACGAAGCGTACGTCTGTTAGCTTGTGTCGTTAGCCCGCTATTGACAATTTGTTAGGTGCGATTAATTATGTTTTACGTGTAACTTAATGAGATGCAAGAGTATTACAATGTCGGTCGCTCTCATCGAGTCTTATTAAGTCACGTACGATATCTAATTAATTGGAAAAATTCTTTATGAGCCTTCAAAACATAGATTTTTTAGTACCATTAGATGTATCAATATTGTTAATATTAATATTTATTGTACCAACATTTATTGTAAGAGGATATTATTTTCGCAACGCTTAGTGTAAATTTAAAGTAATAATTTTTCTAGGCTGCGTTAATTGAGGAATATAAATTAGGAACAAAAGTTAAGCTTAACATTCGAAGGTTCCTCACAGGCTGGAGAAAATTTCGACCGTATAAACACACTTTCAATATCCTCCTATTATAAACATTGACAATATATCCAATGGCACTAAAAGATCCGTGCTTTGCCCCTAAAGGCTCATAAGTAATTCTTCGGTTTGGTCAGAACAGTTTTTCTTGATTCTCTAATTAATTGCATTTAAACAATTAATCGTGTGGCTACATAAGAGAATGAAACGAGATGAAAGATACACATGTCTGAAATTACACTTATTTACCGTATCTTTGATAATTATCAGCTTTTGCACGACCAAAGGAAATCAACGGTCGACGTATTAATAAATGAAACGATACCACGATATCTTTTGCACGTTACAAAACGTACATACTTCAATAGATTACATGTTACGGCTTTTACATCACGATACTCGTAGACGTCGTCGCATTCAATTTGATCGAAATATGAATATTAATCTATAATTTCCTCCGTCCTTCAATTTGTATACAAAGGACCTTATTTTCTCCCCCTCTCTTTCTTTCTCTTGCGTTAATTTAATGAATAAATAAATAAAAATAAATACAAAAAAAGGGTGCGATACTTCTCTCTGGCGTAGATACAAATCTTAGATACGAATAAAAAAGCACAACTAAATTCGATATATCGAAGGTTTCTTTTGCATGTAATATTTGGAACAAGCGAATAAAGAAGTGAGAAAAAAATGAATAAAGAAAAAAGAGATTACAAGATATTAATCTGAATAATTAATGAATCATTAATCTAAGGAAGAAAATATTCCGCCCATAATTTGCAGCCACTCGTTGTAACCCGACATATCAGAAAAGTATTTTATTAAATCATACATTCTAAAAGTACATGACAAAAATAATACCATAACTTACCGGTACATCATATACTTTTGGTCGTGTTAGGCAAAGAAAATAGCGCCCAAGTCATAGACAGCCGATCAAACCTGACATTCTCCGTTGCGCTTTTCTATTTATACGCAGTACTCTGTGTCGCAGGGAGTAATAAATCTTATCGCTCGTTCGCTTTAATCGACGTATTTGCGGTAATATTATGCACCGCCGCTACGGGCCTTATAAACAAGTTACAAAGACACCATTAGCCCGTGCGCAGCACGAGTAATTAACCTAAATTACGCACCCTAGGACGCAATACATAAGTGCGCTCGTTGCCGTAAGACCGACCGCAAGAAGCGGATTCTCTCGGCCGACAAAGTACGTATATATACGCCCGCCGGCTCATTGCACGGGCTCAAGAAATGTACCAACAGCATAACACACACCAAGTGGCTCTCTCGGTCGGGCAACATAATTCTGCCGGGATAACCACGTTCGTGGAATAACGCGTGACGAGTTATCACCCGGGCAGGCACAAGCATTCCAGTCCATGAAGTACGAGTGTGTAAAAAAAAAAGTCACGGCGCTCTCGCGTGACATCGGAAGCGAATGTCACGCGAGATATATATCTGCGAAATCATACATGTACAAAAGAGTCACACCTATAACATAAACATTATTTTATTGGCCGGAGTCGTGGTGTGTGACGAGTAACAGAAAATAATATCGAGCAGTGCACACACACAGTACGCGTCGTAATATCGATATAGTTTCAATAATAATATACGGCTTGATCGAGATCTACGATTTAACTCCGATATCGGTTACTTCATATATATGAATTGTCAATAATAATATCTGATACAATAGGACGCATAATTCACGCGCGATATATTCCCTGTGTAGGCAATAAAGAAGCGATTATTTTCGGGACGCTTTGCTGAGAATTTTCCGAACGATATTAGCGATTAAAGTTCTCCCCCGAAAACGTCGGTTCGACGATTGCGCCGTTAAGTGTACCATTTATCTTTCTCAATGCGAAACTTTTGAAATAAAATAGCTTGATAGTCGGCCTCGCGTTACATTGGCTTATAAAATGACACAATTTCTCTTTCTCTCTTTCCCCCTGCTCTTTTCTCTCTCTCTTCCTCGTCTGCTTCTCGTGGGAAGCCGCCAAAGTTACGACAGGTAATAACAAACTTTCGTATTCTTCCTCCTTGCGACGCAAATGAAACGCTCGAGCGGGCTAATTTATATCAATTACGTCGGCTGATATGATTAAAGTGGAGAGCAAAGATTAAGAAGTTATATCGCGTGCTCGATATTCCCTCTCCTCTGTCTCTCTTTTTTTTCTCTTTTTTCTACCAATTACCTCGGGGAAAAAGACTGACTGGTAATTTCGCTTCTGGGAATATCCTTTCGTTGTTCAATTAGACGGCGTTCGCACGGAGAAACGTTCCTTAAACATTCGGGTACTATGTCGCCAACCAATGATATCGCGAGTAATGTAAGGAAAAAAAACAACGTAATATCGTGCGGGAGACGTCGTCTCTCGTTCCGAGGTAAACGAGGCAAAAGAAACGGCCAAGATAAAGCGCGCCGAACGGAAGCCTAATAAGAATATCTCAAGTAATTAAAAAGCTCGTAAAGCACCGCAGGCTATTTTCGTCCATTAGCTGGTAATCACGGCGCACACAATGTCTCGCTCGCGGCCGAGCGAGAAGGGAGTGAGTGAGAAGTAGGTTTTTAACGGAACTGTTTTTATTAAAGCTGAGTGCTCCCCCTGCGTCTGCACGAGGAGAGTGCAAGAGATTTCTCTTCCTTTCTATCTTTTCCATCCGCCCGGTCTTGTTTCCCGTGCGGCCGAAGTAAGCGGCGCTCTCTCTCTCTTTCTCTCTTTCTCTCTCTCTCTCCCCGAGCGAAATTGTGGCGGTCGAAATTGCGCACAGAGGACCACAGCAGGTACATAATCGCGACTCGGTGAGCAGGCATTTATTTAATACATGCCGCGAGAAGTTGTATTAACCCGCCGCAAGAGTTCGAAATTATTTCGGAACTGCCAGGGACATCCCGCGGCTGCATGATTCGCGTACGTAATAACGCGGCACTCTTGGAGACGGCGTCTCGAGTGACTCGGCGAGTTCGAGCCACTAGTTCGGCGACTGCATCAATACTTTCTCACTTGCGTAATCGTGATAGAAGTAATATATTCTGTTATATAACTTGATCGATTTGTGGTGCATAGAACGTCGTGATATCATCGTTGATTAAGAAAACTCAACGTCGCGTCGTCTCTCTTCCTTCCTTCCGTTTCCTCAAAACAGAGTGAAGTTGCTTTTCGGCTTCTACGTGAAATTATTAAACTGAAATACTGTGAGCGAAAAAGTCGAGAATTAGAAGTCTTGAAATTTCGGTGTAATTGAGGAATTGAATAGCAGAAAACGAAAGAGAGTTTCATACTTGACATCTTATCGTCGGGCTGCTGCAAAGGCTTTGCGGCGGTCGGCGCTTCTCCCTCGAAACGTATGGGCGACACGTTGGAGATGGGAGATAACCGATAATTGCATAGAGATCCGTCGTATAATGACATGGAACCTGCGAGACACGGTGGAATTTGTCGTACACGAGATTATCTCTGATCTCATGCAAATATTAATAATTATATCAGACAAATATTAATGGCTGTGTTAAATACATCAGATATTTGTATTCATGTAGCTAATGTAACATAAAATAAGTAGAACAATAAACGAAGAAGGAGCCTTATTTATTTAAATAAAAAATGTCTAAAAGTATACTTTGAAGATCGTATTTTGAATTTTAGCTGATTCGAAACAGATGAGAAAAGTAAAAAATCGGAAAATTAAAATCAAAGATTCTATCGATGCAGCTGCCAATTTGGTTAATGTATGAATATAGTTTTAAAGTTTCGGAGAAAAAACCGTTTTCTCCCAATTTATCACTGGACTTTTTTGGTTTCTCATCTTCTTTACGTAAAAAGTAAATGTGACAGATTTTAACCGAACACACGTGAATTTTTCCAAACAAATTTTTGTACCTTTGGAAGAGAAGAAATCCGCGGAAAAATGGGGAAAAAACTGATTTCTCCTCGAAACTTTCAAGCTACACGGGGGAAATATTCTAGTAAAAATTACCACAAAATTTTGGGCTATATCAAAATTACAATTGCGATACATGTTGTAATCTTTAGTGATGTACTTTACAGTAAATAAAGATTACAACACACATAATAATTCACAGTATAGTGTGTAAGAAATATAATGAACCAAATGAACGACAACCTTTCGCGAAGTCCTGGTCAAAGAAGCTTAGGTTGCTCTCGCAGAACTCGTGATGCGGCGGCGAAAATATATTGCTCGTCGCGCCGCTCGGGCAACGAGCCAGGTTTGGCAGCAGGGGCACAGTTTCTACCTTTCTAATTTTCGGGGCCGACGATTTCAGCAACTCATCCTCTTGGGCAACGATCGATGAGACATTTATCCTATTGCTACTACTTCCCTCACTGTTTTTCCTTTCGAGTCTTTTCGCTTCAATTTCGTGTGTACTCGTGGTGGCGCTATGCTTGAGCAGGCTTGTGCGGGGACTTGTTTTCGCGGACCGCTGCCGACTGGTCTCTTCGTCCCGATGGATCTCCTTCATTTCTATGTCATTGTCCGCTGAAGCTGTTTTTTCAACCATCTCGACATCCGAAGCGACACGCGTGTTCGCCTTTTCGGCGGGTGTTTTCGGATCGTGGCTCTCCGTCTGGACGACGGTATATTCCTTCTCGTGTACCGACTCCACGTTTATTTCCTCGGGCGACATTATGGTGGACCCGGTTATGCATAGTTTTTCCAGAGCCATGGTATTGATGGACACGTCATCTAAAAATCGAAATACAATGCATCCTCTCGAGTCCCATTTAGAGAGAGAGAGGGAGAAAGAGACTAAAGTATTTGTTTTTACCGTCGAAATTTTCGGCTTGTATCCATTGGTGTTGAACTCTTATATGAGGCGTACGAACGTACATTTGCTGATACGGTATGTTGATTTTCGGTAATGCCAACATCTTCCGCTTCCGAAGTCTCCTCTGATCTTCCTGCCTCTTGTGTTGCGCTTGTATCTGCGAAGGTCAAAAGATCGCGTCATTCGCGTCGTTGGAGAATTAATCCGAATTTTAAATTTTACATTATGTCTTCAAAAGGAAGTAAACGGAAATAAGTTCCTATTTATATTTGTAGTATCAAAAGAACATAATAAATACTCTTTGGTTTATTAAAAAAAAATGTTTTACGTTATATTACGCTACATGTACAAATATCTGATGTATCTAATGCAGCTATTAATATCCTTCTTTAATACTATAAGTGAGACCTCCACAGTCTAAATTTTAGTTCTACACCAAGTCGTCGAAAGTAAAGAAAATAACATTTGTAGCATCAAAGAAACATAATAAAAGACTTTTGAAGATTTACTGTTAACTACTTAGAATAAGCTACATTCCGGTCTAATGGAACTCTTTCGGTTTTTCCAGCTTTCATACGACATATTATTTTTTTTCTTGAAAAATATTAGTTACAACGAAGGTATATTATCTTTTCTTAAATCGCACTTGCAAAAGCATTTATTTCCGAAAATATACTTTTTCTTTATAATAATAAGTTTAGTTTAAATCCAAATCACTTATTCAGACTTTGCGATTCCCACATTATAAGCTTAAAACTACTAATTAGAATGACAAGGCGATAAAGTCGAACGGTCTCACTGACCGGATTGTGGTGAATTACAGACTTGAAGGTGGCTAGCTAGAATTAAGAATAGAACGGCGAAAGAACAACTCGATTGTGACCTCCATCTCGAGCGACTGTAACTCCTTTCCGTGATGATTCGCCCTCAGTCTCGTTAACCTCTCCTCCAATTTCAATCGTTCCACCATGAAGTAAGCGAACTCAATTATCTCGCAGCGCATACGGACCCAATTGATACGTTCTCTCTGCTGAATAATCGTCATCATCTCCGTCTTCTTGTAAGTCATCACCATATGCTCGATTTGCAGCTTCCTCAGGCTGATCTTGGCCGTGTTTCTGGCTTTCGCCAGCGGAAATTCCTCGTACATAGCCTGTGCATACAGTTATTTCAATTATTTCGTCGAATATCAAAGTCTCGCGATATCGCTACTGACGTGATAAGCATCCGACGTGTTCTTGTAGTCGGCGACGATGTCTCGATACTCTTGCGCCCTCAGCTCCATCAATTTATACTGATCGTCGATATTCGCTCTCATAGCTTCCACCTTGTTCATCGTCTCACTGTTGCTTATATGCAATCTACATATGCAAAACAGCGAAATTCCAATATGCGTATCAAAGGAGAAATCCGATGGAAAAAAAGGAAGTATAAAATATTTGGTATGAAAAGTAGGCTGCTGTAGACGATGATTTTGGACACCGTACCTCGTTAAGCTCTCGTTCAATCTCACACTGATTTTCTGCTTTTGCACTACCTGCTCCTTGAGCTGCTTCCTCCTGCTGATTTCGTTGCGTATCTTGGTCCTCATCCTTGCTATCGCCAACGAGTTAGCTGGAAACCACCGGCGATAGTTTTACGAGGAGGCACGTTTTAACGTTCGATAAGCAAGGATATCTACGCTCGCACGAGACTCGTAATATCGTGCGTATATCGTAAGGGGAGTTAATTTCGCTTTCTCTCTCTCTCTCTCTCTCTCTCTCGTTAAATGGTGCGTCACACGTACGAAGTACTTGCATTACGGTATATTACGACACGGTGGCATCACCGTGACCTATTTCACGGTGAGACGCGTTTATAGATACTTCAGGTTCCCCTTATATGTGAAAATTTCATCCCCTTCGCCGAGTCTCACGCTTTGAGTTACATTATTACGCACAGTAGTGCACCCGCTTTTCACTTTACCTGCGAACTTCTCCCTGCCTCCCCCGATTTCCATCTTCAAGCAGGTCTCCAGTACTTTCGTGAATTGGGGATCACGCGCCTGATTATCCATCGTTTCTCCCAGTGGTGTTGCGACGTGACTCTTTCTCAAAGCGTTGCCATTACCGGTTCTGAAGTTCGCCGAACGGACTGTTGCTCGCGCGGTAGTTGGACGATCGGTGAACCAGATCGCGCCACCGTCGCGTTTAGTCGTGTCGCAACGCCGGACCAACATTCCGCCGGGAGAAACGACGGATAATCAGGCACGATGAAAGAATCGGAGACTTGCTTGAAGATGGAAATATCGCGGGGCGCTGAGAGAAACTCGAAGGCAAAACGAAAAGCGCGGACGCGCTACTCAAATTTTGTTCGAGTTGATCGTAAATCCCGAGGAGTTTCGTCCAGCGCGATACATACGCACGTACGATATTTAATACCTAGGCGTTACTCGTGAGTCAGCAGTCACCGAGAAAATATCCGAGAAAATATAAGAGAATGTTCGCGCGCTGAGTAATACGTGTCGTGCGAATGGAACGAGCAGTAAAATCAAGTTAGTTAGCTTGGCAGGCCACTGAGACGATTGAGATGAAAGTTTTTGAATTTATACACTTTAAGAACTCGTTACATTTTATATTTATACATGTAGATATTTTTTTCACGCTTAATAAATCTTTTATTCGTCGTAGGATTTTATACGCGACAATTGGAAACGATTGTTTACGTGTAAGCAAACTTCGCTAATTAATTATATCGCAAAGATTTTCAGTGGCGATATTAAGGGGCCTCTAAAAAAGTTGATTATTTACGGAAAAATATATTTTTTCCTATATATATTTTATTTAACTATCTAAGTAATAATGTTAATTTTCAGCGAAATTACGAGAAATATATATACACACAATATTACAAATACGGAGATATTATTTAGTTTTCATTTTTCTTATTAGTTCTTTATTTATACATACAGTTGTATTAATACAGTTGTATTAATAGGGGTGTACACATAATAAAAAGTGATATATAAATATTTAAAAATATGTGTGTAAATATATCGTGGATTTCACTAAATGTAATTGTAAATGTTTTCAAAACAAAATTGTCATTAATTTTGGAATTTTTCTATATCTATATCACAGTAGTTTTTCATTAAATGTGGTTTAGAAGAAATTAAAAATAAGATATTAGGAACTTTAAGATATACGTAGGAAAATCCTTAGTTGCAAATATCTCCACTTTGGAACAGTCAATTGTTTTCTAATTGCGCCAATAATTAGGTCATCGTTAAAATCTATATATAATTCAAGTTTCAACAAATTCTTAAGAAATCCATTTTATACTACTTTAACGATAAAGCGAAGAGAGTGATGATTTTGTTAAAAGTGACTGAATATGAAAAAACAGTACAGGTGTTATAACTTTTTACCGTCAGCATTTACCGTCGAAACAATCAGTTTCTTTTTCCAAATCTATCGAAACAATCGCCGTTTCCGCGATTAAAAAAGAACGATTGCGCTCGATCTCACTTCGATGGATCACCGAGATACACAGCCGCGCGGTTCGCGAGTTAATGGAAACACGTGACTAACTTATCGGCCCTGAAAATCGATTGTCGGCGCGCCGATTCGGCCTGCTGGAAAAATATAAGTAAAGATCCGAGTCGAGAAGCCGCTCGTCGGAGGGACGCGCGGGGGACACGGTAGGTCGGCCAACCGGGTCAAACTGCCGCCGAACATCTAGCGAGCCAACAACAGCCACCCTCGCGAACTGTTCCTTCTTCCATAACACCGGCGTCCACGTAATCGCCGTGCTTTTTCATGCCCACGCGTCCTAAAACGGTGTTCCCTCCCATAAAACACTGAAAGAAGGATTTAGTAGGAAATAGTAAAATTTGATTAACCCTTTGCACTCGAGGGCTCCGCTATGGAGACAAATAACTTTCAGTTCATAACATAAGGACAAATCGTAAAAACTATTGTGTACAGGATATTTACTTATATGTGATCTTTCCACTGAAATTGCTTCGAGTTGCTGGTAATATGAATGAAAAAAAACTTCTAGTGCAAACGGTTAATATATGCCGATTAAATGTTTGATTACCGCAACTACATAATTTCGTTCTGTGTGTATATTATATGTACAATATTACATATAATACATAATGTACGAAATACACTATGTATAATGTATATATACGAGATTACAGTATGGAACGAAATTATTTGGTTGCAGTAATCAAGCATTTGGTCGGCATATATTATAACCGAAATTTGTTATTAAATCCTTCTTCCATTGAATGGCTTGTGTGCTTCGCTTACGTAAGTAGAGACTTGTAACCGACGCGCGGGCGACGGAGCATGAATAATGCAGGAGCTTCGAAAGTTGATTCGTTAAATTCGTCAAGATTTGTCAGATTTGGGCCACGCGCCGGCCGGTATCTCCTCGCGCGGAACACGAGACGCTCAACATTATCATCGAATAACTTCTATTGTATTCGAAAGTAATAATGACTTCATTGGATGTTACAAAGTTTAACGATCGATGTATTACTCGCACTAATGACATCCAAGAAGCAAGGCATCAGCAAATTAAGTTGTTTTTTTATTGCTTTACCGAGATAAATATATTAATTAATAAATATGACTCTGAATATATAAAATTGCTCGCAGCTGAGCGAAAAACTTGCAAGGAAGATGACGACCGAATTCTTAGTGCAAAGAGATTATATACAGAAAAAAATGCTAGTTCAAATAAATAATTAATACTTCAATACTCCCTGACAAATTTTTAATTGAATTAANATTTTTAGTGGAAAGAGATTATATACAGAAAAAAACATGCTACTTTCAAATAAATAATTAATACTTCAATACTCCCTGACAAATTTTTAATTGAATTAAATAAATTAGATGAGTACTTGGATCGAGTAAATATTTGGAGTAATTATTTATTTGAATCTTTTTCTGTCTAGTATTTCACTGCAATGGAAGCTGAGAAAAGAACTCTTAAAAACTTATTTGTAAGAAACAATTTGTAAGGTTTATTTCTGTGACATAAACCTTATATCCACCGAATAAATTTTTATAAATACTTATTTCCCAATATGCCTGAAACTTGGTTGAGCTATGACGAGGAAAGACTAATGTTCCGAACGAGTGTTGTACGACAGCATTAGAATCAATGTTGTATTGAAGAAGCATATACAGGATGGAAAAAATAAACGTTCTTATTTGTCGGACTGTTTAACGGATCGTTTAACATCATATTAGATCATATTAAATAAAAATTCACGACGGGCTATCCGGCGGATACAATACTTGGTGATCCCAACCCGGCCGTCGTAAAGCATCGTGTAGAGAACTAATATATAATTTCAGGCAATCAGGAGCTGTTAAAGCTCACGCGGCATAATTTATCGTTTCGCCGGTAGCTTCCAGTCTCTTTTGAGATTAATGGAAATCATACCGTAGGGAGCCATAAAGAACAGGCGGTCTATGCCGCGCCTATGAATGCCTAGGGTTATCAATGCTTCGTAAAATGGGTTATCATCGGGCGCGTCAGGCGATATTTCTGTTATTGTTGCGAAACGCCGCGAGAATTGTATGTTTTTTTTTTCTTTTCTTTCTCAAGAACGTCGCATAAACGAGGCGAAGACGCGCGAAGAATCGACACCTATCGATGGTGCGCTATAAAAATAGTCACGTAATAGTTAACAAGTGTATTTGGTTCAGTGTGTCAGCGTAATGTTTGGTCAGATGTGGTAATAATTATCAAGTGTTTGATATAATAACATATAATAATTATCATAAACATAATATTTAAAATCACATAATAATTATTAAAACTTCTTGAAAAAAGTTGAATTAATTATTTAGTAATTAATAACGAAGAATTTTATAAAAAATAGTTTGATAATTATCAAAGCATTTGGAAAATACTAGATCATTCGGTAATTCTTAATATTGTCCGCATAATGTGATTAATATTATTAAACAATATGGTTTTATTTAGCGAACAGTTTGGTGATGACGTACCACATAAATTAGTATATAGAAAAAAGTGCTGGATTCAAGTAAATAATTACTCCAATACTGCTGAGCAAGTATTTTTACTTGGATGAAATAAACTTTACTTAAATTAAATACATATTTTACTTGGATAATTCACTTGGAAAATATTTTACTTAGTTAAGTAAATATTATTTGGTCCAGGTAAAAATTTGCTAAGGAGTATCGGAGTAATTATTTACTTGAATTNAAAAAATAGTTTGATAATTATCAAAGCATTTGGAAAATACTAGATCATTCGGTAATTCTTAATATTGTCCGCATAATGTGATTAATATTATTAAACAATATGGTTTTATTTAGCGAACAGTTTGGTGATGACGTACCACATAAATTAGTATATAGAAAAAAGTGCTGGATTCAAGTAAATAATTACTCCAATACTGCTGAGCAAGTATTTTTACTTGGATGAAATAAACTTTACTTAAATTAAATACATATTTTACTTGGATAATTCACTTGGAAAATATTTTACTTAGTTAAGTAAATATTATTTGGTCCAGGTAAAAATTTGCTAAGGAGTATCGGAGTAATTATTTACTTGAATTCAGTACTTTTTTCTGTATAATGATTATCAAATCTCTCTCTCTCTCTCTCTCTCTCTCTCTCTNGGCATATTATTTGATTATATTCACTTTACATTACTTTAATTGAAACTATTTTACCAAAGCATTTGATAATTCTGACCTAGCCTTGATGGTTATTACCAAATTTTTTTTCGAACGAGAGATCGGCAGACACACGTGTTTTAGATACGATACTTATCAGCAGACGCTTTCGTCGTACTTAGCACGTGATGTGCGGGACGTTCCCGCACGGGAATATTTCGATTTCTGAAGCGTGCAGAGCAGACGCTCTGACGTATTAGCGTCAATCGATCCTCGCGGTTTCCTTGAGCGAGCATTCCGCTGTGGAAACGCTCGGGAGATTTATTTGCGACGCAGGCGGCCGATAACAAAATATCGGGATTATGAATCTTTCATGGACATTCCCGCGCGCGCCGACGGACCGAAGTGCGGGCGGCGGTGACAATAAAAAAAAAAATAGTAAAAATCGAAAAAAGGGAGAGGAGGGAGGGAGGGAGAAAAAAAGAGAGAGAGCGACACGAACGGCATCCTTTTACAACTGCGTCAATAATTTATTGCTAGGAAGCGTAGATAAATGTTCATTG